TATACCCCGTCAGACGGCCATTTAAATGGCCTTCAGAGCAAACTCCTCAAAAAATGTCTGCGAACACCAAAGGGCACAGGCAAAGCCGAGATTGTGAACTGATTTGCCGATTCTTTGAAGGAATTCATTCCGAAGGCCATTTAAATGCCCGACTGACACGGGTATTTATTACAATGTAGGGTACGCTAGGCTAACTGTGGTACACAAGCCACGATCGCTCTGTAGAAATTTATCAATTCCAGTGCCTTCACCCGTAACTTCATGTAGCAGTCGGCAAAACCACGTTCAATGAAAGTCAGCATCTTATGTGCCTTCTTTACGTAGTGGATGTGGAAAATCCAGTAGACGGCAATGAGGTACGCCACATCCTGACGGAGCCATACCATAAGTTCAAAGTTCTTCCTTAATCAGTCCTAAAATTTTGAAATAAATTACCTCAAACTTAACAGAATTTGATAAAACATAATATGAGAGTCACAGATTTTTTACCTCAGCTTATATATGTTAAACACTCTGACTGCTCCTCCTTAGACGTCGCAGCTTGCTCGTTATATGTAGTAGCGGCAGATGCAATCACTCTTCCTGCAATCAGTCCGCTGTTGGCCATTCTCTTTCCTGCGTAGTGCTGGAAGGGACCTGTAACCAAAAAAGCACAAGCATTTAAGTTAAAATGTACTCACAATCAACACAACAGATGTTTCCGACGTTATCGTATGAACCTTGCAAACCAGGTGGGGAGCAGACTTTTCTCAAGAAGTGATTTGAAGACAGTTTCTTCAAAGCAATATCAATACTACTGATACTGAAAATATGGTAAAAGGGCAGAATCGTTTTAAAGTGATATAGCAACGAAATCGTAGTGCCTATTTTATTGTCTAAATGTCAACCATGTTTTGACCATACAGTGGAGACACCAATTTTTTGCTCAAAAAGACACAAAACATCTAGAACTAGTGTCTCAGAAGATCTCCCGATATGCATCACGTTTGCGACGTCTGGTTCTCCTTCAGTCAAAGCTACGTGGGGGCTGGCGTGGTTGTGAGCTTACACGTTCGTGACGTCTGGTTCTCCTTCAATCAAGGCTATATGGGGGCTGGCGTGGCTGTGAGCTTCGCCACTTGATGATGTCAATGCACTGCAAGCTGGCCGCTTGAGTTGTCCCTCCTCGCTCTCCGCAGGAGTTGAATAAGCACGGGAGAAAAAAGAAAACCGGTTCAGCCAAGTTAGACAGGGCTCGGGCGCACACAGCCTGCCACCATGTTCCCGTGTAGCGGTGCTACTTTTATGTGGTGTGACGTGACAGTATTTGGTTTATTTAAATAAAGTTTCGGCGCCTTTTTTAGCAAAAAAAAATTCGGTGTCTCCATGGTGTGGGCAGAACATGGTTAACATTTAGACAGTACAATTAGTGCTAAAATTTTGTTGTAATAACCTTTAAAAAAAAAAAAAGAAAGACCAAGGTACACCCTTATTTTCAACAGTTCACATTAAACATGTTTATAACTATCTACCTTTCTGTGCTAGTTTCCTTTTCCATCGTTTCATAGTCTCAGTAACTTTAAGAGTGAGTGACAGTCCTGCAAAAATGTCATCAAGCATGTAAAAGTTTTGAAAGCCGGAAAAATTGACAGCTTATTGCAAGCTTTAAAAAAGTCAAACCAAACAAAACGACCTATTGCAAAAACTGTAGGATACCTGTCTTGCTGCATGTAAGCTTAAGAAATTGAAATTAGTATACATTTCTAGCGATTTACTCCTACAAACTATAATTTTCTTCACTCTCGCACAATCACTAGGCAGAAGAAGCAAAAGCCCTCCCATTATCATAATCGTGTGCACTGCAAACATGCAAGAGTTATCAACTTTTTGAGAAACGACTATAAGGGATAGCTCACATATACACACAGAGCTAAATCAACAGTAAAACAGTGCTGACTTGAACTTAACTTAGTACTGATGCAGCAGTGTATGAGCATCAGATCATTAACAAAGAGCAAAATCAGCACTATTCCCAGCACTTACTAATAGTACTGCACTATTGTAATGCCCCGAATCTGGGTGAAGCCTTTCAAATCACCGCATAAATTGGCTTCACAATGTATTGCACTACGATTTACCAGAGAGGTGCCTGAAGGTGGTGAAAGCATCGCAGAAAAAATTTCAAAGAATGAACTTACCCGAGTAAAAAGTAAAAAAACTGGTTTGGCTACCTATGACACCAGTGTGCTAGTATATGCGCATCCTCCGACTGGCACAACTACCGACAGATGGCGGCAACGGCACCGACGCCTTATGGCAGTTCAGTAGCTCCACGGTCACGCCAAAAGCACACCACATGTAGCTGAAATTATTCAACGAACCATCGGTTTGATTATTTTTGTGTCCATTTAATGTGATTTATTGGGGGTGAAAATAAAATAATGTTCTGACAATTATAGCACCGAAAAAGTGTGCACCATTTATGACTCAAAAAGGTTGTCCGATTTTGGTGTGACTGGGCGGCTGCTGAGCAGCTACAAGCCGCTAGGGTTGATGTCGCCATCTGTCAGTTATTGAGCCAGTCAAAGGGTGCACAGTTAGCAGACGGGCGCCGTAGGCAGAAAAAAATAGTCATTTTTTTACCTTTTACTCAGGTAAGTTTGTTCTTTGAGCTTTTGATGCAGTGATTCCAATACCTTCGGGCACCTCTGTCGTAAATCGTAGCGTGATGCATCCCCAAACCGACTTAATGCAGTACTTTAAAAGCTTCACCAAGATTAATAACTTGGCAGCACAGGTGTAGTGCTAATGTGAACAGGTCTTAAAGGAAAGGAACAGAAATTTAGAATTCCCAAAATAAGGTAGCAGGAGTGTTCAACGGGGCGCCACCAACCCCTAAACACCACTCATAAAGCGATATCTCGAACGGATGGCCATATTTTTGTAAAATAAGGATGCGATAAGTGAGAATCGCGACATCGTGTTTCCTGCAGAATAGTTGAGGAGGGGGGAAACGGCTTTGCTTCTTTCCCTTTTCGCGTCCTCGCGGAGTCAAAGTGAGAAAAGGAGGAAACCAGAATCGCGACGTCACGGGCCTTTTTGGCCATTGTTCAAGCATGCTCTTCTTTCACAAAAATACAACCATCCGTTAGAAATATTGATTTATGCATGATGCTTTCAGGTTTGTAGCGTCCCGCGTAGCACTTCTGCGTTGTTTCCCGAAATCAAAATTTCGCTTCAGCATTCCTCTAAAGGATGTACACCTAACAATTATATTTGGCAAATACATAACAAGGAATTGCCTAACTTATACAAATAATTTCAATTTTTTTAGTTGTAATAGACTAATTTCACAGGTCAGTTTGGCTAAGCCACTGCTGCTGCAATGCATCAAGGGAACTTTCCTCTTTCTGCATGTGCCCCAACCTCGCTGGAGCTCTGCGCGTGCAAAGCGCGAGACGGCACGAGGTGTCTCAAGCACTGCCACCTGCCTCTTGTGAACTAAAGTTATGGCGGCTTCACACATGCGCTGAACGCTAAGTGAGATCGGTCTATTCCACTAAAGATTAAAATAACCATACCAACAGGCTCTTATCAATCTTTCATGAGTCTTGATTGTTTCAAAAAGCAACATGTCCCGTATACCCTGTTTCATTATAGTAAGTTACAGCTCAAGAAGATGGGGCGAGGGAAAAGAAGGTCGGGGAGGAGGAAGCAGACGGAATGCTAGATAGAAGAGGGAAAAACTTCCTCCTCTCTTCTCCAGCAATTCGTCTGCTTCCTCCTCCCCAGCCTTCCTTTCCCTTTCCTTACATTCTTGAGTTGTAACAGACTATAATTACGTGAAGGACAGACAAAGGCAACGCCAGACGAGGGGAGAAAGGCCAAGCACTAGAAAGGTTGGGGAGGGGAGAAACCTACCCTCCTCTCTAACGTTCCTAGTGCTCTCTCTTTCTCGCCTCGCCCTCTTCTTCTGTCCAGCCTTCCTAGTGCTTGCCCTTTTTTTTTTTGCCTGGAGTTGCTTCGCTTGCACTGCACACAACTAGTGGCGCAGACTATTAGCAACGTGCACGACAAAAAGCGTCGCTGTAGTTGGGTTTGCGATCCGCCGAACCATAGCTTCCTGTATACTGATAATGCTTACCCAAATGCCGGCTAACGGGGAGGGAAATCCTGCCAATTACAGGGAGGTAGAGGCAAATATTGCCAATCAGGACAAGGGAAATTCTGTTTGTGACGTCACGGACGGAAACCATTAAAGGGTGCCAACGAAACATCTTGGAGCTAATGGAAGTGGAACATAAATAGCTCTGATGACTGCCCGGTCCGGTTTTCGAGCTGCGCAAGGGCCACTGGTCCTCTCGCTCGAACAGTGCTTTCAGCTCTTCATTCTGGTACCTGGGCCACAAGTTGTGCCAGCAGGCTTGCAGCACCAGCTGAAGGAATTGAAGGCCCACTTCTGAAAATACAAAGCATAAAAGAAGCAATCACTTAGAACAAAAATAATAAAATCATAAAAATAATTAGAGTAGAGCTTTGAAGATTCATCTCAACCACCTAGGTATTGTTAAGATTGATGGACCTTGCAGAACAGTAAGCATGTCAAATTGCAGGCACCTCGGTCTGGTTTACAACCTGATAACTCGGAATCAGAGGACAAAAAATTGTAACAAAGCCAACTTACAATTAGTGGCCAATCAGACAATAACCTCTCAATATTTTGAAAGCATTGACAAAGAAGATGAGCACAGCCGTGACAATCTACTTGACTCACAATACCAAGTTAAGTGTCAGTCAACCAAATAATGCTCTTATGCCCTTGAAAACTGTGGCACGGATAAAGACTACCACCAAAAAGATACCCTGTCACCATGCTAAACCTTGCTCTACAAACGGACGTGTGAAGAGCAACCCACAAG